GGATGGGAGACCTCCTGGGAAAACTAAGGTTGCTGCTGGAAGAGGTGTTAGTGGTGCCAGCAGGAGGTGCTCACCCTGCGGTCCACGTGGGTCCGAATACCCCAGTATAGTGACGGGGACACTATACTGTAAACAGGAGCTGTCCTTCGGATGAGACGTAAAACCGAGGTCCTGACTCTTTTATAAGAGTGTCCAGAAAAGCGCTATATAAGTGTAAGCACTTATTATTATTATTATTATTATTATTATTTGGTTTATGCTGAGCATTTTAAATAATAATAAAATGTGATAATTTCTATATGTACTGAGCTGGAAAGTTACATTGAGATTGCTTGTTTTTACTGTTTAAGAATTAAATAACGATGCTTACCCATAACTGGATGTGCTAACAAACTAACTTTTTATTTGTATTTGTCTATTTGTATTTTTTTATTTGTTATTAATGGACTATGCTTCACACTTCTAAACTGAAGTTGCTTGCTAATTTTTACAGATGTATTACAGTATACAACTTCAGTAATCTTGTAATACTTGTCTTATACATTTCTACAGCTTTAATACCTGTTGAGCGCAGATATTTTCTCTATATATTGTGCATGTGATTTTCTCATTTATTTATTTTTTATGTCAGAGATGGGAGACTGAAAGCTGGCGATGAGCTGCTGATGATTAATGGCCATTCCCTGGTTGGTCTCTCCCATCAAGAGGCTGTGGCCATTCTCCGCTCCACAGCTGGACTGGTGCAGTTAGTTGTTGCCAGCAGGGTGGGTGTGATATTCATATTCTTTTCTCAAAACAATTATTCAAACCCATTCACGATAATAAGCAACCTTTTTTCATATTCTCGTGGGGCATTGTCAAAGTTGGCTCTATGTTACTGACATTGGTGGGTTATACAGAAATGCATTCATTAGTGGTAATTTCTTTCTTCTGTTATTTTAATATGACAAGATGACAGACCTGTATGAGTGATTTTGGAGAAGAATTGTAGAACATTTTAGGAAATGGAAGGAGGAAAAGAAGAATAGAAAGAGGCCGGAGTTACAGATTTATTTGGTTTGCATTATGAATGCATGCTTTAATATTCTTTTTCTTTTTTTTTGGAATCTTGGGCCTAGTTCAAAAGGATATTTAAGAAATCGGTAAAAAGGAATGGTGTTTCGGGCCATTGTAGTTTGTGATTTGCATGATGACTAGCTTTCTGGACTATGTGCTAAACAGAACCCAAGTGGATAATGTTTTCATGGTCCAATGTAGAACAAATTAGGAGAAGGTAAATTGGTGATTCAGCTAATTTAAAGATTTTGCTTGCAAACTTAAGATGAAAACATTAACACTGGTCTCAAACTTGCACTCAGTATACGCAAAAAGATACTAAAATTTCCAAGACATAAAAGAATATTGCAACAGAGGCAAAAAATAATTCAGAGCATTTTCCACTATTCTCAACAGTGAAAGAACTGTAAAATCTGAGATAAATAGTTTATGAGATTATAGAGGATTTGGTTTTAGTTTGACATTGAAGAATTACAGGGGTGATGGCAGTTTAGAACTAGTACTGTAAATCATTTTAGCCTGATGGTGTTTTTCCAGTCGAATTAAAGAAATGAGAGATGTTATTCATAGACTATTGGCTAGGATTGTTCAAATCTCAGTCTGTACCCAGACTGTAGAATTGTAAATGTAATGCCAATTCATAACAATTGTGACAGAACTGAATCAGGAATCCACAGACCAATCAGTCTTTCTTTTGTTACAGGTAGATGCTGTAATGGAAATATTAATGATGGATAACCTGTAACAGAATAGCTGTCATTTTTAAGTGGTCTTAGTCAGTTTAGGTATCTAGAGAGTTGGTTAAGACAAGAATCATGCAAAAAGAAATTGGTGCAGATATTTGCATATGGTTTGAGTTCAGTCCTTTGCACAAGGTAGCAGCCAAGCATTCTACAGCAGCTGAATATCAATGAGGATTCTGTGGGAGGCTATTACTGACATCCCATCTAGGGTGTATTCTGTCTTGAGCCCATTGCATGCTGGGATAGGCTCTGGCTTCCCCAGGATCCCTATGGCATGGAAATCGTTGATTAGGAGAGGCGGTATCTCTCTTGATAAGAGAAAGGATTGCTCCTGGCAGACAGGGTAAAGGAAGCCCTCCCTGTCTCAGCGTTGGACCTATTTTGGAGGAGAAGTGTGGTTATCAATAACTTCCAGGAGAAGCTATGGTGAAATAAAATGAAAAATAAGAAAAAGAGATCTGAAGGGTCTACTAATACCCACTGAAGCTTAGGGTGTCGCCAAAGGCTGGATGCGTGTTGCCAGAGAGTGTGGCTACAAGACCTTCAGCTCATATCCATACCCATGTAATGTTTTATGCACATAGTCTCCTGGAGCGGTGAAGCCCCGGGATGGAAGAAAATGCTAGCCTCAGATCTGCTAAAATGGGCAGAGCAGTGGCACTGTGGCTAAGGATCTGTGCCTTTGGCTGGCAGGTTGCCGGTTCAAATCCCGCAGCCAGCAGAGGAATCCTACTCCGTTGGGCCCCTGAGCAAGGCCTTTAACCCCAGCTGCTGCAGGGACGCCGTATAAATGGCTGACCCTGCGCTCTGACCCCAAGTTTCTCTCCCTGTTTGTGTGTCTCATGGAGAGCAAGCTGGGGTATGTGAAAAGACAAATTCCTAATGCAAGAAATTGCATATGGCTAATGAAGTGATCTTATTTTATCTTATCTAGTTCATTTACCAAGCCCAGTGGTGAAGAAGAAGGGTTGACAGGAAGTGTTAGCACCTGGATGAGTTAATGCTGCTACCTTGCCACATAATGTCTATCTGCTCAGCACAGATGAAGGAATAACAAACTAAACTCTAGATTCCACTGACACTCCATGTTATAGTAGCTGTAGATATATGGGTGGACTGGAAGAGGTAGAGGCAGACTGTGAATGAGAGAGTTTTGAAGACCTTAAAAAGAAGAAGAGAGAATTAAAGATTAGTCTAAGGGAAATATTTTTACTGGGGATTCAGTTTTAATAAAATTGGGCTTCATAGAGTAAGGTGGATTGGGAACATTTACAATTAAAACTCCTATGGTAATTGTCAACATGGGCACTACCCTCATTTCTACCGACTGTTGGAAGATTAGTGTTAATGCCCATGAATTGTACTGTATATTCATATGTATTCATTTGTATAATAATAGCATCTTATTTCCTCAAGCATGATTTGTAGACCTCTATCAGGCCCTAGAGATAACTTAACCTTAAGTGCTTCTAATAATGGTAATACGTGTGCCCCTTCAGTGCTAAAGCTATTTAGTACAAAGCTTTGAGCTATTGCATCTTGAGGCAGGATGTTGATATCTTTCTTGGTGAACTCAAGAGTGAAGAATTCATTTAGTGCATCACCTTTTTCTCTTTCATGGTCTATCAGTTATTATCCCAAATACGTTTTCATCCTTCACCCTTCTTGCAAGTCCAACATGTAGACAAATGTGGAGACCTCTCTAGAGATCAAAAGTCAAAATACAAATGGCACTGAGAGGTTTTCTCCAACATGTTCTCTTTTCCTCCTCTGCAGGAGGAATCAGAGGTTGATTTCCATAAATATCCCTCAACCAGTTTGCCCGATTTAGTAAGTACATGCTCATCCCAGGGCAACTCTCCTTCTCCCACTGAGGACAAAGAGAATGTAGAGCCAGAAGTGGAGGATGTAACAGCCAGCAGCCTCTCCCTGCCCACTCAGGACTTGGTGAGTCTGGATTATATATTGGTTTTGCTAGGGCTGTTGTGTAAGGTGTTGTTTAATTGTACATTAAGCAGCCTTTTTATGCATAAGCTTTTATCAAGGTAAAATGATCTATATTTTCTTCATCTGGAACAAATTATGCTTCCTGTCAACATGATTTTTTCCTTACAACAAAATGACAGATGGATTACTGACGCAAACTGTCTTGTAGCAGTGGTTTGGGAATCCCTGTATCTTTTACTGAGTAGGATGTGACAGTCATGCTGGATGACTCCACAGTTAAAGCTTTGGTTTTTAAGCTGGAAATGTGTACTGATTGCTAAGTAGGGCACTGCACAGTTTTTTTCTGTTATTCTGTGTATTTTACTTGAAGGTAAATTAAATTGCTTTGGCTTATCAACATTAACATTTAACCTCTTTGTTTATTATAGTTATCTGGTATCCAGATGCGTGTGCTTCTCATTTTTACATCTTAAATGCACAATTTAATGCGTCATTTTATTTTTCTGTTAAAAGAAGATGCTGCTTTCTCAGTCTTTTTTTATTTAAACACCCAGCCACGTGGATGTGGCATGAAACGTTTAATTACTTTAGAACTTAATGATGATTCAAATACCTTAAACTACTACAGGACTGAAAAGAAATTCAGAAGAATAACAGTGCACAATTTATTCCACTGTTATTAGTCCAGGAAATTGTTTACGACTGGGGAGTGACTTGAGTCTGTAATTAACACAGGGAGGAAATAGTGCCAATTATGTGTCTCTTCAAAAGCCTTTTTTGAATCCAGCAAACTGGGTCAGTATCCCCATGGTGCTCCTTGCTGATCACTATTCCCATCTGCAGCTTAATTAACTGATCATTCTAGGGTGTCTGCTTGTGATACGTACAAATCCGGACAATTAAATGATGGTAAGCCTCATCTTTTAAAGGTTAAAAGTACATGCCTTCTTTTGCAAATATTTGCAAAAATTATCAGCACATTATGCTTGAGAATCTTAGGTTTAGTATTTTTTTGTGTCTGTTTGAGCTGTGGCCTTTGCGACAATAAAACGAGACTACATATTAAAAGCATCATTACAGTGCATTAGTAGGAAAACAAATGCTGGCATTGTGAGCAGGGAGTTCCATGGATGATATGGATGTTCGTTATTACCATATATTCTATACTGACACTGTTACAGCTATTTTTACAGGCAGTCAACAAGACCCTCTTTAAAACAATACATATCTGAACCAAAATAAACATTAATTTCCCCAGCTTTTTGAGTAAAATATTCAAAGTGCACAGCTGAATAAATTTTGATTTACTGAAATTGTACTGGGCTGAGATTGTTTCCATTTTTCTCCCACTCTTTTTCAAATACACAATGTCCCTCATATAAGAAACTGTAATGCACACAAACCTTTTCAGATAGAATTTGTATGGTTTTGGAAGTACTTCAATTTTTCATGTTCAGAAAATCACAATTGCTATTTTTTCACAATCTTGAAAAACATGCGTCCAAATCTATGATATCTGAATATTGGAGAGCAGTAAATGTTTTGTTTTTTTTCAAACATTGAATATTTTTGTAATATAGGAATGGGCATAGAATGTCAGAAAAGATAGTCTGCTACAGTGCCAGACACTCTCCAAATAAAGTTCAGAAGTCTCCCAGATGCTGCAGGTATTATCAGTTTTCATTGAGTGCACATCACTTGTTATTATGTGGGTGGCTTGCAGAAGCAGGACAGGGAAGGTATTTTTATACAGAACTGAATGTCGGATCCATTTAACCGTAAGGCTTAGTTTCCTTTAAAAAGAAAAGAAAGGAAAGGAGGGAATAATCAGGGCTAAGCAGATAATGCACACAACCGTGTCTGTCATGCTGAAACCTAAAAGTTGTGTAGGTGTTTCGATTTTCAAAGCCAGCAGGCTGCCTGGAGACTGAGCTGTTATTAAAGTTGTTCAAGCAGATGAAGCAAGTGTTTTTGACAACTGATAACTCCCAGATCAGTCTGATCAAATTAGTTCAATTTCTGTATTCTCAAATTAAACATCAAGTTCTCTTAGAATAATTACTTTTACACATTAAAAACCACAGAACATGGATTTGAGATACTTCTGTAAAATAAGAATGAATTATTCTTTACAAGTTGTGTGGAATGAAAGCTAGATTTTTTTAAATGCATTGTCAGGATACATACTAAGCAAGAGTCAAGCTAAAACATAGCAAGTTAATATGGATTAGTGTGTGAAAAAAGACATGGATAAACATTTTAACAAAATAAAGATAAGATAAATAATTTTTATTAACTGCTTACTACCAGTAATCCCCTCTTTTCAGAATAACTATACCCGCCCTTTTAAGGTCTGTCAGTCAGGTAAGTTAACTGTGACATGCCCAAGCCTAAATAACATGGGTCTGAATACATAAAAAATAACACAAAAAGACTAAACTGCTCCATCCAGGAGGTTTAAATGTAGCAAAATCTTCTCAGACACACAAAAGGCCTTGTTATTCAAAAGCCCAACCATGAATAAACACCGTGAGCCCCTCTATATACCAAATATAACTAATCACTCTCATGTGAGAATGTGTCTCCTTGGCCCTTCACCAATTATCCAGGTAATTATATTCACCCAGTGTGTCTATTAGCATTGATCAGAGGCCTTTGGCAGCCTCTAGTGGCAGTGGCATCAGTCTTTCCTCTAGTGGCAGTAGTATCTGCCTTTTCTAACCCAGCTTGCCACAAATTTGTAGGAAGGCACAGACTACAAGAACGATATTACAGAATTTCAAAGATCCTGAATACCTTTGCACACAGTGAAATTGATCATTAAGAACAGTGTGCCAACCAAACACTGCTTAGATCAGGCTATCCATCCAGACTGTGCATCTTTGCAAGAAAGAAATTGGTAAGGAAGGCTACTATGAGGCCAACAGAGACTTTGAATTACAGATCTCAATGGCTGACATGGGAGAAAATGACCATGAATCAACTATATCCCAGTCACTCAAAGTTGGCCTATATGACAAGTATAGATCTACCCGCTCCATTGTTCCATCATAGACACTACAAGGCAGCTATGGCTGCAGAACCACACAGTACTACTGAGACAGTAAAGCATTCTGCCACCAGGTTTATTCTGGGATAATTCAGCACCATCTAAGTTTCAATTCGGTGATCACCTATTAAAACAGGCAAGAGATTAAATGATGTACAGGCCTCTGAATTAGCAAATTCACAGTTCACGGACAAAAAAAGAAGGTAGCAGATGTTCTGTTAATTCACATAACTGATGAAGTGGAATTACAAAGTAACCAAGCACAAGGGGAGGGTATTTAATGGTTATTTTGTAGAGAAAAGAATGTTAGAGCTACAATGTCAGGGAAGTTTTCACACCTGCTGCTTAAAGGACATTCATCAATATGAAAAACATGAGTTTGTTACAACATTGGTCCACTGGACAGCTGCAAATAAAGTAAACTTCAAAGCAATCCCTTTTCTACAGTGTAAATCTATACATAGAGAGAGATATTTTGGAGTGTAGTTTCATCATTTGAAATGGTCAATTCTGATTAAACCTTGTCTAAGCTAATTACAATATGTTTGGGGTCATGTGATTTGCAGTGTTTGCTCAACATGTTGAACAGATGAAAAAAGAGTAGCATGGAAATAGGTTTTGCCTTTGCACTTAGCCCTGCTACACGAGAACTATGGAATATTTTTGAAGGAATGGCAGAAAGGTCTGGGAGAAATTCAAATATATAAATACCAGTGTGCAGGTATAGATGGTGGGATCCAGGTCACTGAAGACAGATATGTCGCATGCATATCTTTTTCTATTCTACTAAAATATTTTTTTTTCTGAATGTTGAGTCTCTTGTGTATTGTACATCAGTGGTGAAAGCAAGGTTTTCATGGCGGCTCAATTTCATGTGACTAAGTAGCTGTTTTGAAATGCACCTGGCTGATAACCCTTCTATTTTCACTCTACTAAACAAATTCCAGAATGCTTATCAGCAGACAGGTTATACCTGACAGATTTATGGGACCCAGTGATTTCTCATATTTAATCAGATTTTATTCTTATTCCTTACAAAGGGATCAGTTCCAGAGTTGATGTTAACCATATGGGAGAATCTCTTAAACTGGCTTCAGCCCAGTAAAAGCAAATCCATTTAAGTGATTTCAAAGTTTGTATGGAAAGTTAATAATACACAATTTTATCCTCAGGATGCCAGTTAATCTATTATACTGTCAGTATATTGAGTAGTACAGAAGAGGAATAACAATGTTGCCTGTTATTAAAAATACCCCAAACAGATTTTCTTTGCACACCAATAACAGTGAAATAACAGAATTAATTTTCTGTTTAACAAAGACTTCTCTTATTTCTCCTTGCATTTAATTCAAATAATGCAGTAGTGGATTTTTTTCAAACCTTTGTATTTCCAATGAAAAAAAGCTTTAGTTTACAGTATTTACTATGTAGCTTTCCTTGTCATTTGTGAGTGTTTCTACCTTATTTCAAAGAGGTACATTGAAGTAATCTGAGTGTCACTTTTATCCCAGGATAATGAACTAATAGCACAATGATACCCCAGATATATTTATTAAGTTTGAAAAAGTCATGCAACTATATATGTTAGTGAAGTGACAAATCTAAAAGATAATTTTCTAATGTGAATATAAAGTTTCATTCTCAGCGCTATGAATGCCATTGAAGATAAGATGCATTTTTTATGGTGCTTCTCATATTCCACAAGAAAAAGTCTTAACTGTTTACCACTACATACTTTTCACATCAATATATATTACATTTTCTTATCCATAATATAACATAAGCTTTATGTCTTTTTTACACAGATACCAAGGGATTATAATTTTTAATACTTACCCAAGCAGCTGGGTAAGCTTACAATTCAAGAATGGGTTGATTTACCATTAGACCATAGATCAAATAAATGTACCATTGGAGTGGTGAAGCTTTGTTTGCTTCTGACAGGTATTTT